TTGGTTCTGGATGAAACCCTGCTAATTCCAGGTGTGTTTTGTGAGATGAGAAGCTGGTGGATCTGGGCTGGGCTCTTTCAAGCAACCAACCCCAGGTACCAATGGGAACGTGGGGCTGGCACACACCTCAAGGTGGAATTTTGTAAAATCCCTATGATTTTGTTTTTGTGTGCAGCTCCCGGCTGATCCCAGTCCCCCAGTTCAGTTCAGTCTCTGGCTCTGCAATTCCCCAAAGGAATTCACTGCAGGTGCAGTTTGCAAAGATATTCACACCAATATTTAGCAGCCTACAGGTGAGGCTGAGGAGATAAGTTTATAAACAGTAAAAGGGTGAGAAGAGATTTTACTAAGAGGGAAAACAGCTCAGCTCTGAGCAGAACATTGGTTGTGGATGAAACCCTGCTAATTCCAGGTGTGTTTTGTGATATGAGCAGCTGCTGAGCTGGGCTTGCCTCTTTCAAGCAGCCAACTGAGCTTTGTTTTCTTGCCTTGCAGTCCTTCCAGGGCAGCCAAGGACGAGCGTACCTCTTCAACTCCGTGTGAGTACCCTGCGGCGCTCGGGGCGGCCCCAMCCAAACCCTCCTGRAAGGGAAAAAAAATCAGAGCTTCCYGCACAAATCCTCTGCCTAGGGTTTGGGAGCTTCCCAAAAAGGGTTGGGGAAAGAGGCAGAAATAGCCCCTGATTCATGTTTGAGTGGTGGTGGAGATAAGCAGGAAGGAAAAGGTGATTTTTTCCGTCATCAGGTTGAGGAATCGGAGCTCGTGGCTGAGTCATTCTCCTCTCCCAGGATGGAGCTGGACCAGAGTTGTGTAAATGGGGAGAGAGAGATGATATCTAAATATGCACTTCATAAAAACCAACTATSATTTTAGCATTTTCCCCGTAGCTGGAAATAGTTTGGGGGAGGTCACTGCCGCTCCGTCTTTGCTGATTTCAGTGACATTTTTCAATTTTCCATCTGGGGAAAGCAAAAGCAGCGTTTTATCAATTTGAGAATGAAAATCTCCCACAAATGCCTAATTAGCACAAGCGACTGGAGCCTCATTAATCTTCTGCTCAAAGCTTCCGTCGAGTTTTTTTAACCCAACAAAAAAAAAAAAAAAGAAAAAAAAATCCCATTTTTACCTTTTCCTTCAGCTCTGGAGCTGCGAGAGATCTTTGTTGCAGGGAAGCTCAGAAGTTTGTGCTCGTGTTTTCAAACACTGCAGTGGGATTATTGTCAGAATTTTGCAGAATCTCCACGTGCAAAGGCACTGATGGGGAGCAWTCTGTGCTTTGTCCCCAGAGTTAACGTGGGCTGTGGCCCTGCAGAGGAGCGGGTGTTATTAACGGGGCTGCACGCCGTGGCAGATATTTACTGTGAAAACTGCAAAACCACGCTGGGCTGGAAATATGTGAGTATTTGTGGGCCTGGCTTTGCTCCCCAGGGCAGYTGTGCTGCAGGTGAGGGGGTGGAAAGATCATTTTTGGGCAGCCAAAGTGGAGGTTTTCATCTCTGAGCACRTCTGTTTGTGTTTGGAGCATCAGCTTTAACGTAATTTTTTGGTTTTTTACTAAGAATTTACACCCTGGGCCTTGTTTGGGTGGGTACCCCTCAMTGAGATTTAACATAAATGAGGAAAACTTCAGTCTTGTGGTTCACACTGCTTTTTTTTCTGTTTTCTGATAGATGTTATCAGAATGATAAAATGCTCCATTAATCCRTTGTCCTTTGGAAATGCTGCTGGACATGAGTTGATCTGTTTGCTCTTCATAAATTCAATTACCTTCAAATAAAGTCTAATATCCCATCTAATTCCTGCTTCTGGAGGCCCACATTGTTTTATCCAAATGTTTTCAGCAGTTTCTAAACAAATCCTGGTTCATATCCATGGCCTCTGGACACAAATATTGTTCACTAAATCAGCTGAAARGCTGTGAAAAGGAAAACATCAAAAACAAATGGGRAAGAAATCAGTGCAGGAGCTCAGGRTGGGACTCACAAATGGAGYAGGACACTCAAAGCATCCTCTGAGTGAAACAAAACTCACAATTCTGTGAGCAGCAGGGAGCCCAGGGCTCTTCCAGCAAGGAATGATCTTCCAAGGGAGAGCTCTGAGCAGAGCTGAGTTGGTTTGGGGATGCAGCCTCAGCAAGGGGAGTCCCTCCTGCTCAGGGATCCCAGAGATTTCCTTCTCCAGGAAGGAAAATCCCRGAATTGATTCCTCATCCAGGAAATCTCCCAAGATTTTCCTTCTCTGTGTTTCCACAGCTGCAGGCACGGATCAGTTTAGGGTGGGATCATCTCTGTTTCTACATTAATACCCCACAATCCATCCCAATCCCAATGATGGTGCTTTTCCAGCACTGCTGCACTCTTAACGAATTTGAATATTAAATTTTCACACTGCCCTGGAGAGGGGTGGATTTTACCACCAATGATCCCTAAATCCTGGTTTGAAGCAGTTGCCTTTGGCCTGCAGAAATCTGTACCTTCCATGCTGCCAATTCCTTCTCCCCAACCTGTAAAGACAGCCAGAAGCAGGATTTCAATTTTTTTCCCACCTAATTTTCCTAAAAGCCAACAAGAAGTTGACTTTTTCTCTATAAGCATTCCCAGATCCGATCCTTAACGTGATTTACCTTCAAACACCTCGCTCTCATTCTCCCTCCTGATGATTTTTTTTTTTTCAGGAACACGCTTTTGAAAGCAGCCAGAAGTATAAAGAAGGCAAATACATCATTGAACTAGCTCACATGATCAAGGACAACGGCTGGGATTGAGTGGTGAGAGCCCAGCCCTAGCAGCACGTCCGAAAATGCCATCCAACCGAACATTATATCCGAGAGTGAGAGAGTGACTGAACGCTTGGTTCCATGCATTTAGAGGCTCTGCAAATCCGGGAGCATCTTCACACCCTTTCTCCATCTTTATTGGTGACTGGCCTCTAAATTTCTGTCTCTCTGTCTCTTTGCTTTGTCTCTGTTTGTGAGTTGACCCTGGCTGCTTCTCTCTCTGTGTCGCGGCGTCGGCTCGGAGAATGCACCGACGGCCCGACAGCCATTCCATGTGCCGAGTGCTGATCCCAGCCTAACTCAGGATGGGCCTGACTGGGCTCTCCTGGCACCTCCCAGGAGCTCTCGGGGCGGGAGGAAACCCCAAAACCCCCCGAGGTTTGGGCACGACGAAGTTTGAGAGGGGTTTAGGTCGGAATCTGACTCTGGTTTAAGTGAGGCTTGAAACCATCTCCTTGTCTAAACGGACAAAGAAACATCCGTAGAGAAATAATCCACTTGTCTAAAAAAAAAAAAAAAAGGACGGAGAAATAATCCACTTGTCTGAAAAAAAAGGACAGAGAAATGTCTCCTTGTGTGGTGAAAGGACAGAAATTACCTCACGGCTGCGTTTTCTCTCCGAATCCCGAATCCGTCGGCGGAGGCGAGGCAGAACCAGTTCCCCCCACAATCTGTGTTTTGTTTGCTGTTTGTGAGCTCGTTGTTGGAGGGGCAGGAGCTGGAGGCTGTATTTTAGAATTCAGAGATTCCCTGCCTCTCCTTTCTCTCGCTGTTTCAGGGTGGGGAGGCGGCTGTGGGGAGCGCCCTCATGGCTGGAAAAACCAAATCCTGACTCTTCTTGAGCCCTTCAGAGAGGAGGAAAAAACCACTTCAGGCGTGGGGAAGCTGCAGCTGCAGTTTAGGAAAGGAGAATGGGGTGAGCAAAGGCTGTGAGAGGCAAAAAATGAGAAATTCCCTAGAGGAGAATGGGGATGAACAGTAACAGAGGGAACCCCTGGATTTCCTGGCCTCCCCTGAGCACCCTTTGGGGGTGTTTTAGCAAATTTTCCCAAGTGCAAGGAGGAAAATGCTGTTGCAGAAGCTTTTTTTTTGAATGCCAGGCCCTGCTGTGGGAGCCTGGCACGGGTGTGGTGCGAGAGCGGGGAGAGGAGGAGCTGAATCCCCAAAGGTGGATATTCCCAGCCCTGAGGGATCCTCCCCAAATCCTTCCCCTTTTTCCCACTCCCTGAAGCTGTGAAAAAAAAACAAACCAAGAAATGGAACATCTTGCCAGCACCCTGGAACGATCTCTGCCTGGTGGGGTGGACGTGGCTGTCAGAGCTGCAGGGGACAGCGGGTCCTTTCCCATTTTGATTTTTCTTTTTTTTTTGATTCCTGAGCTCCTTCCCGGGGTGGGTGGTGGGAAGGGGTGTCCTGTGTGAGAGGAGAGCTGTGTCAGCTCAGAATTCCCATGTGGGATTTGCAGTTCAGCCAGAACCTGGTGCATGACCCAAGCCTAGGGAGCTGAATTCCTTTTTTTTTTCCTCTCTCCCCCAAATGAATTTTTCTTTTTGTTCGTGGAATTCTTTCAAGTAGGTTAATCCACAGGGGGGAAATCTTCCTTAATCCAGAAGGAAAGAGAGATTGTGCAGGGGGTGGTGACTCCTTACGAAACAGAAGCTTTGGAGCTGTGATCTGTGATTTGGCCCCTGTCCCTGAGAGATTCCAGGGGGCTCTGGAAGAGTTTCTTGGGGTTAAATTGGCAGGGAATGGGAACTGAGGCTCTCCTGAAGGATCAGGGTGGAATCCTTGTGYTGAAACCCAAACCTGATGAAGCAGAGGTTGACTTTTTTTCTCTCAAACCTCCGTTCTTGACAACTTTGGAGAGATGAGGTGGAGCTGGGGGGCTCCAGCAGAGGATGGGGTTGGATCTGTTTGTGACCAACCTGTCCAGAGGTGGCTTCTGTCCTCACCCTTCTGCTCTGGCCRTGTCAAAATTGCTTCAGCTTTTGGTTTGGATTGTCTCTGCTTCCATCAGCCACGTTCCCTCCAGTGACAAATCCAGGAAAAATCAAAAATCCCACAGCAGCTGCTGTCTTGTGGCCTCTGGCACCGACCTGGTGCCATTTCCTTGTCCTGTGGGTGAGGATCCAGGATGATTTATTGGATTTTAACTCATGGGAAGTCATTCCTGTGTTCTCAAAGAGCTCTTTGGTCTCCACAGAGCCTTTCCCTGCCCTGTGGATGAGGATCCAGGAGGATTTATCGGTTTTGACTCATGGAAAGTCATTCCTGTGTTCTCAAAGAGCTCTTCAGTCTCCACAGAGTTTTTCCCTGCCCTGTGGGTAAAGATCCAGGAGGATTTATTGAGTTTTGACTCGTGGGAAGTCATTCCTGTGTTCTCAAAGAGCTCTTCAGTCTCCACAGAGTTTTTCCCTGCCCTGTGGGTAAAGATCCAGGAGGATTTATCAGGTTTTGACTCGTGGGAAGTCATTCCTACATTCTCAAAGAGCTCTTCAGTCTCCACAGAGCCTTTCAAGGGCTCTCTGTGGAGCTGGGAGAGGGAAGGGATCATCCCAAATCCTGTGAGGTTGAGGAGAGCACACAGGGCTCGTGGTTTGATGTCAGTGTTTGGAGTCAGTGCTGATAAAAAAAGCAACATCAAAGGCAGAGAACTGCTCTGGGAAATCACAGTTCCAGAGGAAATGCTTTTATCGTGTTTGGGGACAGGAAAGGACAGTTCTCCATCACACCTGGCTGCTTTGAACCCAGCACAGGTGTTGGGTTTTTAATGACAGCCAGTCCCAGCTCGAGGAGGGCGAGGTTTAATCTGCTTTTAATTGGTTTTGTCCCATCAGTGTCACAGAGCTGCTGGCAGGGAGCCCTGCTGGGAAGGCCATTTGTGGGACTGAGTGTCCCCAKCAGCCAGARAGTTCCCTGCAGTGTCCCTGGGATSCCCTGGGAGCTGCAGGAATGTGGGGTCTGTGCTGTGGGGTCACTCTGTGAGTAACCAAAGAACCTCCTGCCAGCTGAGCCAGGTGGGGCCTTTTCCCAGCACAAACAGAGCTGTGGAGCCTCCTCCTTGCTGCTTTCCATGGGCAACATCCTTGGCCAAACTCCTTTTTCCTTTTTTTTTCCTGTGAGCACCCCTCGAGTTTACATCCCCCCCTCTACCCCAAAGCTCAGACTTGAGTAGGTTTGAAATCGTTCTTGCTCTGGTGGTGTGAAATCCTGACCCCTGGAATGAATATTCAGATGATAATATATACAAAGCAGAAAAAAAAAATAACCCCCAAGGCGTTACCTTGTGAAATATACTTCTGTAAATAATATTTAATTTTTTTTAAAAAATAATAATAATAATAATAATATATTTGGTGCTGTTTTCTCAGAGCCCCTCCCCGAGAGCACTTTTGTTTTTTTGTTGTTGTTTATGATGATGACTGTTTCCTTCTGTATTCGTTGGAAAATATGTTCAAAGGGAAACAAAAACCATAATCTCTGTTGTCCTCTGAGGTGGCTCCGTGTTTCCTCTGGATGTGGTGGGAGAGGGGACTCRCTCCTGCCAGATTTGGTGGCTGGGTTGGGGACAGCAGCCCCCAGGGTGGAATTTGGGGTGGGAGAGGCTGCAGGTGCCCATTTCCTTTTGGGTTTCCCTCTAGGTTTCCCTTTGGTTTTCCCTCTGGGTTTCCTTTCAGGTTTCCCTTTGGGTTTCCCTTTGGGTTTCCTTTTAGGTTTCCCTTTGGGTTTCCCTTTGGGTTTCCCTCTGGATTTCCCTTTGGATTCCCCTTTGGGTTTYCCTTTGGGTTYMCCTTTGGGTTTCCCTTTGGTTTTTGGGGTTCCAGGGTCCAATCCACAGCCAGACCCGGCCTCACCTCGTGCTCCCACCAGGAAACCCCTAAACCTGTGGGGTTCCAGCTCTCCCTGGTTTGTAGGATCCAGGCCTGGGCTGTTCTCTTGCCCCAGAATTGGCAGGATGAAGATCTGGAGCTGTAGGAGTGGGGAGAGTCTGGAGCTTTTAAACTCCTCAACCCAAACCATAAATCCCTGGACATGGATCCTGATTTTCTTTTTGAGGGGAGGCTTTTTTGTTGTTTTATTTTATTTTTGTTTTTAAACCAGGCTGCTACATAACAAATTAGAGTAAAAGTTTACCTCTCTGGCAGTAAAGTTCATTTATTTTGTTCTCCTTTCTGTCTTTAATCTCCCCCCTGCCCTTTCTCGCCCTTCTTGGTTTTTATTTCACTCAATCTCTTGTTTATCCCAAAGTGGACCAACAGCAGAACCACTGGGCTGTGTTTGCTGAGTGAGGAGCTGCTCCCAATAATTCCCTGGGTTTGGTGCACACAGGAACAAAACCAACCCCAAACAAAACCTGTCATTCTCACCATGGTCAAGTGAGAATTTTCTCTACGCATTTTTGTACCCGAATCCTGCATTTCACTGGAGGAGCTGCCACGGGAAGGGTTTTGGGATGAGGAGGGGACACCAAACACCGAGCTCAGCTCAGTGGGAAGGAGCTCTTCCCACACGGGAGAGGCCTCACGAGTTCAGTGCTCAGAAACAATCAGGTCAGACAGAGATTTTCTGCGAGAAATCCTGGTGACAAAAGAACGAGCGGAAGAGGGGAAACAAAATCATCTTGAATTCAGAAAAACAAATTAAAAAATCAACATATTTAAATGCAAGCAGAATGGCATTGTGTAAGGTACAACCACAAGTAAGCTGTTCTCATCGTTACAACTGTGTGTATCCTTTGTTTTGTTCTTCCTAAGGAAATGGGAATGCTTTCCCCACTGACAAAACTAAGGACAATATTTCCAATACCAGCCTGTCTATGGATGCTCTTGTGTTTACAAATTGTGTATACTTTTATTTCTTTGATCTTATTTTAATTTTTTTTTTTGACGTATTCTTTCAGGTCATTTGCTTCAGTCATAAATGCAATTGTTTGTTTTCAAATAATTGGTTTTCACCTTTTCATGTATTTGTACATTGTATATAGTTCTTCAGTATTAGAGGGAGGCGTATTGTTTGTCATATTTACAATATGTGTTGGTGCTCATTTGAGAAAATAAAATTTTCAAGTACTAAAATTGCTGCTCCACGTTTGTGCTTCATTCTGCACACCCCTGAAATCCAGAACTGCTCCCAGGGGATGGGAGACAGCGATTCCTGCCACCTCCACCTCAAATCTGAGCGTGCTTGGGTGGGAAGCTGTGCTTTATTGGGGTTTTTGGGATGGGCTGATGTGATCCTGCTTCATCC